GCTGTGTCACTCTGTGCTCGCCCGACAGTTTCAAGAGGCTCTCGACCAGAAGTCGCTCCCGAGCCTATTCACTGGGATCACTCACTTGGTTCCTAAAGATCAGGATACACAGACCGAGATGTAGTGTCTACGATGACACCAACCATTTTGAGCGCGAGAATCACTCGTCACCTGGACTCAAATCAATTGATGTCGCGCGCCCAAAATGGATGTCGGGGCGGTGGTCGTGGAACCAAGGAACCACTCCTCATTGACGCGGTCATTGGCAAAGTGGTGAAACGCAACCGTCGGAACTTCTCCGCCGCCCGGATAGACTACAGAAAGGCATTCGACTCGGTGCCCCATACATGGCTAAAGAGAGTCCTCGAGCTGTACAAGTTAGACTGTACAGTTAGAGACATCCTCGAGCAGTGTATGGGGCAGTGGAGTACGATTCTTTGTCATCTGGGCGAGCGGATGGTGGCTGCGGAGAACCACATAAGGATAAGAAGGGGTATCTTCGAGGGCAATTGTCTGAGTCCAATCTGGTTCTGCCTCTCTCTGAACCCTCTCAGTACCTTACTGGAGGGCTCCGGGAGGGGATTTCAGCTACGGAAAGGAGAGACAAAAGTGACCCACCTTTTCTATATGGATGACCTCAAGTTATTCGCCTCCAGTCGCTCCCATCTTATGGAATTGCTAAACATCACTTGTAAATTTAGCAATTCTATTGGAATGGAGCTGGGGACGGATAAGTGTGCGGTCCTCCATGTTGAAAGGGGAAGGGTTGCTAACTCTGAGGGCATAGACTTATCTATGCCCGTCAACTTAAGGACCCTTTCCGAGGCTGAAACATACCGATACCTGGGTATGTCACAAAACATCGGTATCGATGAGACTGGTATGAAACAGTCAGTTTGCGACGTGTTTTATGCACGCTTGACCAAAGTGCTTAACAGCCTTTTGTCCGGTGTGAATAAGGCATACGCATATAACGGCTGGGTAATGCCTGTCCTCATGTATACCTTTGGCATACTCAGGTGGACTCAGACTGAACTTAACGCCCTGGATAGAAAAGTCCGCACTACCATGACGTCCCATAGGATGCATCATCCGAGATCGTAGGTATTGAGGCTGTACTTGCCGTGGAAGCACGGTGGTCGTGGCTTCTTGAGCGCGCTCACCATGCATAATCGCGAAGTGTGCAGCCTCCGTGATTACTTCCTGGCGAGATCGGATGATCCATTCTATAAGGACGTCATTTCTTGTGATAAAGGACTTACCTCCTCTATCCTTAGCCAACGAGCAATGGCAAGACCCAACAGTGCAGAGCATTTCCGGCCGGGAGACCGTATGGAAGGAGAAGGAGCTCCACGGGAGGTTCTACAAGGCTCTACATGAGCCCTTCGTAGACACAGTAGCCTCCCTCAACTGGCTTCGCTTTGGCGATCTCTTCGTGGAACCGAGGGTTTTGTCTGTGCAATACAGGATCAGGTTATTAAGACCAAAAACTATCGGAGATACATCTTAAAGGATGGCACCGTCGACGTCTGTCGAGCTTGTCGCCATCCCGGTGAGTCACTTAGGCATGTCATCTCCGGTTGTTCGGCGCTTTCTAACTCCGAGTACTTACGCAGGCACAACCTAGTAGCCAGAATTCTTCACTACTACTAGCCATAGTGGCGCCATCCCAGCCTGGAGAAAAAGAATCGAGGACCGTATCGCAAAGGCAAGGGTCCTTATTGGCAGACTGACAAGCTTCAGGTCAGGTAATAATAGACCGAGAATTGTGCGCACCGTTAGGACGGAGTTTGCTGGGACAAATGTCAGTTTGTCCCAGCCGGATATCACGCAAAAACTGACGGAGCGCATAGACGACCTGAAGCAAAAAATCGCTGCTTGTGCGAAGCGGATTCGACGATTTGCCGAGAGGTCGACAGGCGGTTCAACCAGAATCGTCTCTTCCAGAGTGATCAGAAGAGGCTCTATGAATCATTGGAGCGACCAATAGTATGTGGAGCGGGCCAAGGACCGAATCAGGCCGACATTGTCGCATTCTGGCGCGGCCTGTGGTCAGAGCCCGTAAACCACAGCGAGGGCCCTTGGACGGAAGTTGTGGCGAGCCAGGGTGCGGGTGTTACGCCTATGGACCCCGTCACCATAACACCGGATGACGTAGCTGAGGCGGTCCGTGGGGCCCCCAACTGGAAAAGTCCGGGGCTCGACGGGCTGCATCATTTCTGCCTGAAGGGGTTCATAGTGTGTCACTCTGTGCTCGCCCGACAGTTTCAAGAGGCTCTCGACCAGAAGTCGCTCGAATGTTATCCGAGAGTCCTGCATTTTGAGCGCGAGAATCACTCGTCACCCGGACTCAAATCAGTTGATGTCGCGCGCTCAAAATGGATGTCGGGGGGTGTCGTGGAACAAGGAACCACTCCTCATTGACGCGGTCATTGGCAAAGTGGTGAAACGTAACCGTCGGAACTTCTCTGCCGCCCGGATAGACTACAGTAAGGCATTCGACTCTGTGCCCCATACATGGCTAAAGAGAGTCCTCGAGCTGTACAAGTTTGACTGTACAGTTAGAGATTTCCTCGAGCAGTGTATGGGGCAGTAGAGTACGATCATTTGTCATCTTAACGAGCGGATGATGGCTGCGGAGAACCACATAAGGATAAGAAGGGGTATCTTCCAGGGTAATTGTTGAGTCCAATCTGGTTCTGCCTCTCTTTGAACCCTCTCAGTACCCTACTGGAGGGCTCCGGGAGGGGATTTCAGCTACGGAAAGGAGAGACAAAAGTGACCCACCTTTTCTATATGGATGACCTCAAGTTATTCGCCTCCAGTCGCTCCCATCTTATGGAACTGCTAAACATCACTTGTAAATTTAGCAATTCTATTGGAATGGAGCTGGGGACGGATAAGTGTGCTGTCCTCCATGTTGAAAGGGGAAGGGTTGCTAACTCTGAGGGCATAGACTTGTCTATGCCCGTCAACTTAAGGACCCTTTCCGAGGCTGAAACATACCGATACCTGGGTATGTCACAGAACATCGGTATCGATGAGGCTGGTATGAAACAGTCAGTTTGCGACGTGTTTTATGCACGCTTGACCAAAGTGCTTAACAGCCTTTTGTCCGGTGTGAATAAGGAACACGCATATAACGGCTGGGTAATGCCTGTCCTCATGTATACCTTTGGCATACTAAGGTGGACTCAGACTGAACTTAACGCCCTGGATAGAAAAGTCCGCACTACCATGACGTCCCATAGGATGCATCATCCGAGATCGTCGGTAATGATGCTGTACTTGCCGCGAAAGCATGGTGGTCGTGGCTTCTTGAGCGCGCTCACCATGCATAATCGCGAAGTGTGCAGCCTCCGTGATTACTTCCTGGCGAGATCGGATGATCCATTCTATAAGGACGTCATTTCTTGTGATAAAGGACTTACTCCTCTATCCTTAGCCAACGAGCAATGGCAAGACCCAACAGTGCAGAGCATTTCCGACCGGGAGACCGTATGGAAGGAGAAGGAGCTCCACGGGAGGTTCTACAAGGCTCTACATGAGCCCTTCGTAGACACAGTAGCCTCCCTAAATTGGCTACGCTTTTAACCGAGGGTTTTGTCTGTGCAATACAGGATCAGGTTATTAAGACCAACAAATATCGGAGATACAACCTAAAGGATGGCACCGTCGACGTCTGTCGAGCTTATCGTCATCCCGGGGAGTCACTTACGCATGTCATCTCCGGTTGTTCGGCGCTTTCTAACTCTGACTACTTGCACAGGCACAACCTAGTAGCCAGAATTTTACACCAGGAGCTCGCTCTGAAATACGGTCTCGTGTACCGGAAAGTGCCGTATTACAAGTACTTGCCGGAAGCCGTGCTCGAAAACGACTGCGCCAGGCTCTACGGGGACCGGGCCATCATAACAGACAGGACTATTATTGCGAATAAGCCTGATATTGTGCTGATGTACCGGGCACAGTCAAGGATATTTTTGGTCGACATTACCATTCCGTATGACGAGAACCTCGTGAAATCCGAAACAGATAAGCGAACAAAATATCTGGACTTGGCTCACGAGGTGACCGACATGTGGGATGGTCGGCCGACCAAAATTATTCCTGTAGTCGTCTCTGCGAATGGGCTAATCCCAGTCAGCCTCTCGGTTCATCTGAGGCGACTGGGACTCTGTGACGGACCGCTCCGGGCTCAAATGCAGAAGGCAGTGGTCCTCGATACCGCCCGCATGGTCCATCGGTTCCTTTCCCTTTCCTCCTAACCCTCGGCAGTTTGCCGAGGGTTAGGAGGAAAAGGTTTCTCTGCCGAGGGCTTCCGTCTGGTTGGATCTTTATTTATTTGTGTATTTTTTGTATTTATTTTATTTTATTTTATTGATATTTATGTATATTTATCTTTTCATTTTAATTTATAATTATATATTTATAGAAACCAACCAGATAAGAAAACTATACAGATATCCCTATAACAATAATTAATTGCGTAGGGAAGTGACGACCCCATCGCCCGCTGTCGTGACGGTTATGTGACAAAACTGCTACGTCCGCGCAGTCAGTCAGCATCTTGCCAAAAGGTGTGAGCGCCGTGCCTCGGCAAAAATTGAAGGTGCAAGGGCCCTCTTGTGCATATGGCCCCACCATGAAACGGCGCAGGGTCTGGGTGTCTCCCGTAAAATGACGCCCAACACAGAAGATTGCGCAAAGGGCCGCTGCCTGGAGATCACCAGGGCGCGTCTGGAGCTGACGCTGGACGCGACAGCATGCGAACCGCCAGCCAAGTGCGAGGTGCTGCACGACCACCCAGCAGCCCCTCACATCCATCATCCCCACCAGCTTGCTTGGTGTCGGCAGGGTCTTCGTAGGCCCAGCAATCGGTACCCGCCACTGGTGGAGTGCGCCGCATGCGATGGACCATCAATATGAATACAAACGCATTGCGGGCGTATTTTAGGGCGAAAGGGGGAGAAGTTGGAGGATTCGCGTATCGGGCTAGGATGCATCGTCTTTTTACTGAGCTGGAGCCATCTATTACCGTCACCGAGCAAAACCTGGCACACCGAGTTCGGTATATCTTACGCTCAAATATATTTGATGGCGCCGAACTCGAACGGCTACGACGTGAGGCTGTTCCCTCATCAAATGAAAATGCTACGACTGAGGATGCGGTGCCACAAGTTGCAGAACAACCCGCACACATGAATGCTGCCGTGAATAATCCAGTGGTTGCTGATTCAAATGATGATGGAACTAGAAATAGAGCAAATGAGGAGTACATTGGAAGAGGCGATTGTGGAAACGAGCAGTACGGCTCTCGAAAATCGACCGCGACTTACCCGCATAGCCCTAAGCAAGTGGAATCGGGCTGTCGTGAGGGCTTTGAACCCAATGCTTGTGACCTATTTGGAAGCCAGCCTGGACCTTTGCGAGACGGACTCAATTCTTTTTCGCGTCACGCTGGCAATCTTTCGTACTATAGGCGCCAAAGTTTTCACGGCTGGACGCGCTACTGGCCAAAGTAGCGCTATCCCAGCATGGAGAAAAAGAATTGAGGAACGTATCGCAAAGTCTAGAGCTCTCATCGGCAGACTGATATGCTTCAGATCAGGCAATAACAGGCCAAGAATTGTGCGCACCGTCAGGATTAAAAATTTAAATGTAGATGCGTTATCACGGCCCAGGACTAAGATGAAATTTCTCGTTCCCAGTAAAAATGGTCTTTGGTTCTCTACACTCACCATACGAAACACGGCAGCATTGTACTGCAAATTAACGCTGATATTCTGTGAGAGTGTGGTTCTTCCCCGGTAAAGCCGGCATAATATAACTGCATCGTAGCACTACCTACTAGAATGTTAGAGGGGGTATGAGAGATAAGACGAATGAGTTGATCGAAATAATGAAAGAAAGAGAATCAGATGTCGTGTGTATGTCGGAGACCAAACGGAAAGGCAGTGGTATTGAAGAGCTCCCTGGCGGGACGTTAGCTATATGGTCCGGAGTCCCGGAAAGCGAGAACGCCTGCCAGGGAGTGGGAGCGCTGTTGTCGTCCCGGTTGGTCGATCTTATGACTGAATACAAGGTTGTGAACTCAAGACTTCTCTGGGTTCGCTTCAAAATGGGACTGACGAAGTTATTCCTTTTGGCTGTTTATGCGCTGGTAGCTTCGTCGTCCAGAGCTGAGCTGGAGGAGTTTTGGGAGAATGTAAGAGAAGTTCTAGATTTGGTTAAGGGAAACGAAAGAACTGTTGTATGCGGTGATTTGAATGGATGGGTAGGTATCGCTCGACCAGGATACGAGTCGGTGCTTGGAAAGTTTGGCGATAAAAGGGTTAATGATGCTGGCAAGCTTATACTGGCTGTATGCAAGGAAAAGGGTCTTCTTGTGACAAACACTATGTTTAATCACAGGAAAATCCATATGTACACTAGAGAAAGAAAGAATGAGAGAAGTATGATTGATTTGTTCCTGGTGGATGACCGACTGCGAAAACAGGTGATGGATACACGAGTGTTCAGGGGTGCTGACCTGGGAACGGATCATTATCTAGTAATTACTAGATTTAGGGGTTTGTTCGCGGGTTGGCGCTACCGGACGGCAGTAACAGAACCACAGTCGGTCTGTCGCATCCGAAGCTGGAAGCTTCAGGAAGCGGATACTAGGAACAAATATCACACGAGGGTAGCCGAAAAGCTTGACACCATCGATGGCAGGAAAGAATGTGTGGAGAGAACATGGCAGAACCTTAGGGATGGAATGGTAAGTGCAGCGGAAGAAGTATGTGGTACGACAAAAAGAGGTAGTAGTAAAAGAAGAGATGCATGGTGGAATGATGAAGTGAGAGAAGCTGTAAAAAAGAAGAAAAAATGGTTAGACTACTTGGCCTCTAGTAACGATGAGCATATGTGAGAGAAGATGAAAGAAAGATATAAGCTGCAGAAAGTTCATGCGAAAACATTGATTGAGGAAGTACGTGAAAGGTGTAGAATAGAAGCGGACGAGAGGTTGTCGCACAACTTTAGGGAAAACTCCAAACTCTTCTGGAAAGAGGTTGGAAGGTCCCGGAGTGGTGCGACAGCCTTAAGAATGAACAAAAAGCTTTCGAGAACCAATGACATCCTCTCAGAAAAATCCGACGTCATGCAGCGATGAAGTGAATTTTATAGAGAAATGTATGCGTGTCATGATCTTAGTGAAGGATCGGGGGTGACGCCGTGACTGGCACGCCAGACACGGACATCGATGACACTGAGGTCATCAGCATGAAAGAGATTGAACGTGCGATTCGAAGTTTGAAATGTGGTAAGGCTGCGGGACTAGACAGAGTTACTGCTGAAATGGTCAAGTACGGTGGGCCTCGCGTCTGGGACAGCTTCCATCTGCTGTGCAATTTGTGCTGGCGGACGGGAGATGTCCCGGATGATTGGAGATCCGCGGTCATTGTGCCTTTATATAAAGGTAAAGGTTCACATTTTGACTGCGGTTGCTATCGGGCGATCAGCTTGACCAGTTTAGCAAGTAAAGTTTACTCGAAGGTTTTGACACGTAGGATGTAAGAGAAAGCGGAAAGATTCTTATGGGAGGCACAATGCGGATTTATACCTGGAAGGGATGCACGGATCAAATGTTTTCTCTCCGCATGATCACGGAGAAGCTTCTGAGTGTTAACTAGAGGATTTTCTGTGCTTTTGTGGATCTGGAGAAAGCATTTGATAAGGTTATAAGGAAGAAAATGTGGGAACTGTTGCCGGGATATGGTGTGGATGGTCGATTGTTAAGGGCTGTGCAGTCACTTTACTATGACTGTAAAGCCTGTGTGCGGGTAGGGCATGACCTGTCACCCATGTTTAGCGTCCAAGCGGGCGTAAAACAGGGTTGTGTCATGTCTTCCTGGCTGTTCATACTGTATCTCGACAGCTGTTTACAGATGCTGAAAAATAGCTGTTTGGGTGTGAAATTGGGTGACATATAAGTTAATTGTCTGCTGTATGCTGATGATGCAGTGCTTATTGCACCATCGGAAGCAGAACTGCAGGCATTAGTCACGTGTATGAAAGAGGAATGTGAAATTAAAGGTCTCCGTTTGAATGCTAATAAAACTAAGGTTCTGGTATTTGAAAAGGACGAATAGAGAACGAATTGTGAAATATGGGTAAATCAGGAATGTCTAGAACAGGTAAATGAAATTGTATACTTGGGGAGTGCTTTCAGCCGGGATGCAAGATGTGATTTAGATGTGGATAGGCGTGTCGCTGCCGGAAACAAAGTCAATGGTGCCCTGAATGCATTAGTAAAAAGGCAAGGCGTGGTGAAGAGTGCACGCCTTGCAATACATAACGCAGTGTTGGTACCGACTTTGTTATATGGCAGCGAAACCTGGAGGTATGCCAGAAGAAGCATAAAAGCAAGATGAATTCAGTGGAGATGCGATCTCTTCGTAAAATGTGTGGCGTTACCATAGCCGACCGAAAGCGAAACGAAGAGATTCGCAATATGGCAGGATTGAAAGATGACCTTATCACAAAAATTGATAGGGGCGTACTCCAATGGTTTGGGCACGTTGAACGAATGAGTGAAGACCGAATGGTGAAGAAAATATATAGAGCGAAAGTAAACATTAAAAGGTGTCGAGGTAGACCGAGACTAACTTTCGAAGACCATGTGAGCAAATTGCTCGAAGAGGGGAGAGTCAAGAGTACTCGGATACCTAGACGTGCATGTATGAAGAAGTTAATGAACCTGAAAGAAGCGAAAGAGGTATGTAAGGATTGTGACACTTGGCGATCTGTTCTCTCTGGCTACCCCGTTAAGTAAGTAAGTAGCACTACCACGTATATTTTGAATGTGTATGCATATGTTCTCTGTAATTATTTTGTATCGAATAACTTAAAATATTAAGCATAATAGCTTCCGATCTTCCGACCACCAGATGTCGCTAGTTGACATTGAGGTGAAGTATTTTCTTACAAAAAATCATTTAATTTATAAGTTAGTATTAAATAAAAGTTTATCAGTTTCCGGAGTATTATATCAATGCACAAAACAATTTGTGTAATATTATAAGTTTAAAAGTTTTCTCTTTAATTTTTTGGACATATGAACTTTTTTAAATTTTTCACTTTTATAAATGTCTGTGGCTTCATTTATTTAATTTTCATCTAATTAATATTAATTGTAACTAAAAGAAAATAAATTAACAACGTTAACTTTTACATTCTTTCGAAAAAAAATTACGTCCCTTATTTGAAATTTGTCAAATATTACACCTCATTTTTAAGTGGCGCTGGTGACAGAAAAAAATTGTATCCACACCCTCATTGATATCTGAATACAAATCTACATCAAAATGAAGGCAAGATCGGGGTTAGGGAAGTGGGGTTTCTTTTCTGCCAAGCATTTTGTCTGTGTTGGTACTATTTTTCTATCTTTTTTTCTGTCGCTAAACAGCAATGCACCCATTGCTGGATTCCGAATTTGAAAGTTCGAAAGTTCGAAATTCGATAGCTTTGAGGCATTTAAGTCTCCAGTTCTTAGTCCTCCGGGTGAGAACGCCTTCTTGACTTTAATTTTTTGAAGCTGTTTGCAGGTATTCATAGCTTGCAGCAGTCACTATCTATCATCTGGTAGCACTATATTTTCTTCCTCGGAGCGTCTGCGTATCTTGCTCAATTGTACCTACTTCTGTAGTAAAATGGCAGTGTTCGCAATGCTGCGTTCCGCGCTAAAAGGGATAGAGACAGTATAATTATTGAGTGTGAGGCATTCCATCTTAGTCCGTATAGGTGATAAAGCATCTGTAACCTTCTTAGCTTAAAGATGGTTGCAGGTGTCCATGAGTTACAGTATTCACTTTCAATCTGATCGATTTTGGTTCGTTTGTCAGTAAAGTTTTATAAAAATATCTGGTCTGTTTGTTCGTTCGTTACTTTAAAATTATAATAAAATAGTTTATCAACTTCCGTGTGCTTCAGCAAGGCGTTATTGGTGTTCACCTTACAGTTCACCTTTTCCCGCGAATGGTGAAGAGCTACGTCAAATCAAAACAATGTGTTGTTCTAATTTCAATTAAGTAATCTAAAATAAAGTAATAGAAAAATATTACATTTCTTTTGTAGTGTGGTAAAATGGTACTAAATTACCCCCCCCCTCCCATGACGAGGCACAAATCCGTTCAGCGAGGAGCTAGATACTACCTAAACTCAGGCAAACTCACTGACGACATTAATAATTTTGCTGTCCCAATATAAATTTATTCCCCTGATATAATAAATTGGTCATATTTAAACAGATATATTATATTATATAGATATATATAAGAATAATTCAATTTAAAAAAAATTACTTATTAATGGCACTTAAAAACAGTTTTTAAATGAAAAATCGAGAAACAGAATATGTATTTGGCACCCAAAATAAAAAAAAAAGAAATGAAAAAATATGCAAACAGAGTATGCACAATTAGTGTGTCATGCCAGCGGGAATGATACACTTTCGTAAAATTTGAAGGGAATGAAGGGTATT